CTCATTTATTTATTTATGCTCTAATGTTTATTATTTCTTTTCATATGGTGGCTAAAGGCTTGTTTTCTGCTCTTATTCTAGCTTTTGTAGGTGCTGAGTAAAGGTGTCAATGTTTGTTAATTTTTCTTTTTTGGTGCACTTATTGCTATAAATTGTCCTCTGAACTGTTTTTGCAGTGTCCCAAAGGTTTTGGTATGTAGTATTTTTGTTCTCATCCATTTCAAGGAATTTGTAAATTACACATTTTATTTCTTCAACAATTTCCGTGTAATTTTTTAGTTTGAGCTTTCTGTTACTGGTTTATAATTTAATAGCATTGCAATCTGAAAAGATAGTTTGTAGTAGCTCAGCGTTTTCAGATCTGTTGGTGCTGGCTTCATGGCCTGACATATGATCTATTCTGGAGTACATTCCGTCTGTGCTGGAGAAGAGTGTATACGATGTTGTTACCGGGTGAAGTGTTCTGTGTATATCTAAGAGATCACGTTGATTGATTAGTTGTGTTATTTAGTTCCGTATCTTTTAAAAATTTTCCTTCCAATTGATCTTTCTTTTCTTGAAAATAGTGTATTGAAGTCTCCTACTATTATTGTAGCTTGTCTGGTTGTTTCTTCAACTCTGTAAGTTAGGCTAGTGAATTTTAAGGATCTTTTATTGGGTGCATAGATGTTAATTATGATTATATCTCCTGATACAGTTATGGCTCTCATCGTTATCTAATGGTCTTCTTTGTATTCTCATGATAGCTTTTACTTTGATCTCTATTATATCAGAAATTAATGTTGCTATACCAGCTTTTTTAAAAACTACCATTAGTTTTAAATTTGACATATATATTTTTTCCATCCTTAGATTAATAGTCTGTTTTTGTCTGTTTTTCTTATAAGCAACATATTGATGAGTCATGATTTCTTATCCATTCTATTAGTCTCTGTCTCTTAATTGATGTTAGAAAGTTTGGCTTTGATGTGCTGCGGTGATTTTCTTTGGGGATTAATTCTATGTGGGGTTCTTTAGGCTTCTTGAATTATTATTTTCTATTCTGTCATGTTAGGAACTTTGTCTTTCAGAATTTCTTGGATTATTTTCTGTTTTTATATTTTCTTCTTTGTTCTGCTATGTCTATCAAACATAAGTTCTTCCTTTTGATGGTGTCCCATAGAACATTTAGGTTTTCATCAGCTATTTTTAAAAAATAATTTATTCTTGTAGTTTGGACTGAAGATGTTGCTCTTCAAGCTCACTAATTCGTGTTGTTATTTTACTCTTTTGTTCCTTCAGAGTGTTATCCAGTTCTAATATCTTAGAGTTTGTTTTCTGGATTTCTATTTGAAATTGTTGAATTATTTCTAATTTTACATTTGTTTTGTCAAATTGTTCTTGAAGTGTTTTCCTCATCATCTGTCTTCTCAGGTTTTTTTTCGTGGCTTTTTAGAACGCTCCTCATCCAGTTAAAACAGCTTGACATCATTCTCTGAACTCCCTTGTGGGATCTGATGCCTGTTTTCATGGGGAATGTCTTAAGGATCAGTGCATATGCCCCTCTAGGTGCCACCCTTTCCCTTTTTTCCTCATGTGTACTGAAACTGCCCACCCTTTCCTTGACATGATACCATCTGTATATTTGTCTCTGCTCGTTGGTCAGATGGTATTAGAATGAATAATATTCTCTGTGTACTGGGTGTACCTGGATACTGTTGTAGGTTCAAAAGTGGCTGGCAATAGCCTGTTCTGAGCAGGGATTGATAAAATTGATTAGTATGTCTTGTCAATGTTCTAGTCTCGAGTTCAGTCTTTGCGCTTGCCAGGGGGTATAGATTAATGATTGAAGCAGCTGCCAGAAGAGGGTGTGAAAAACAATATCCAAGAAACCTTGTCCGTCTTATAAACATGTCTTTGCTAGAGATGAATGCCAAAATAGGCCCAGGGTCAATTTAAATGATTCCTATCTGACAGGAATCCAGTGTGGGGCTGTGTCTCTTTCAACCCCAGGGCTGTGGGACCTAATGAATTTTCCTTTGCGTGAGTTCAATCACATCTTCATCCCCCTCATCTCCCCAGTGTAGGCTCACTGTCCATCCCCCCAGGTGTGATGGGGAAAGTGCCACTGTCCTTTGTGGGATTAGATTAAGTCTTGGTGCCAGGGTTGGTGTAGGGAAAAGGGAGTCAGTTCACCTTTTCCCTTCTCCCTCTGCTGAGGTCTGGAGAACTGTGGGGAGGTGGTTACTGTGTGACATCATGCCAGGGCAGCCAGGAACCAGTGGCTTTTCAGGGCTTCTTGCACCCGATTCCTTCCGCTGAATTGTCGGGGTATATTTGATGGTTTGGTTTTTTGTTTGTTCATTTTTGCTTGGAAAGGGTGTTACAGAGCTTCTGGCTACTCAATCATGTTTTTATTTGTTTTTTAATCTTCTGGGCTACATTTCTAGTCTGAGAAATATCAGGAGCTGCTGTTCTGGATTTCACACTGTGAATCAGGGATATATATTTTTGGATAGGTAGTCAGAGGATCATTTGCAGAAACCTCTGGAGAATTCCCCAATGGCTGCAGAGCTGTATTGTTCTGCCTGTTCATGTCCTCATGTTGGACACCCAACTGATCTTATTTCGGAGTCACTTTCGTGATTCTCTGCTACATGTACCAGACAAGTTGTGGGATGACATCAATAGCATCCTAAATGAAGAAGGCAATGTAGGTCATTAAAAAGACAGGAAAGTGAGAAAAGACCAACGTGAGTATCAGAAGAGACTCTGAAATTTGCTCTTGAACGTAGTACATGAAAAATGATGACGCAGCTGGGTGGACCCTGACAGACCCCTTTCCTGGAAAATAAAATGATGAAGCAAACGAGTTGAACTGAAAACTCTCAAAAGGCAACTCCAGACGACAAAGTCTTGACTTTGTCTGAAGTTAGAAAGGAAGAACACGCAGCATATCTCAAGCTGAAAGGACTGAAGACTGTAGGTCAAGGCTCGGTTACCAATAGTGAAGGGTTCTATGGGCAAAACATTGAGTGATGCAGGAAACATAAAAAAAGAAGATGGAATGAATACAGAGAGCTACTATACCAAAAAGAATTGGTTGACATTGAACTATTTCAAGAGCATATGATCAAAAACCAATGGTATTAAAGGAAGAAGTCTAAGTTTCACTGAAGGCATTAGAAAAAAACAAAGCTCCAGGAATATGTGGAATGCCAACTTAAGTGGTTTAACAAAGCAATGCCATTCTGGAAGCACTCACGATGCTAAGAAATTTGAGACACTTACCTGGCCAATGGACTGTAAGAAATCCGTATTTGTGCCCATTCAAAAGAAAGGTGACCTAATAGATTGCAGAACTTAACCAATGACCTCACTAATAACATATGAAAGTCAACATTTTGCTGAAGATAAATGAAAAACAATTATAGTAGTCCATCAGCTGGGAGATGCCAGAAACTCACGCTGAATTCAGAAGAGGGTCTAGAACAAGAAATATCATTACTGACCTCAGATGGATCTGGGCTGAAAATTGAGACTACCAGAAAAATGTTAACTTGTTTTTTTGTTGACTATGTTGACTATAACTAAGTCACTCAACTGTGTGCTTCCTAAAACATTGTGGGTAACATTACACAGAATGTGGGGTGTGTACACTGCTCAAGAGGCAGTTGGAACAGAACCAGACAGGGCAGTATTCATCCTGATGGATCTAGTCTCTTTGAGTCCGAGCCCACTTGACAGCACTGAGCAATAATACACACATACACATATACAACATGCACACACTTGGAGGGGGCCCCCAACTTGTGATGGCGTTCTGTTCCGGTGACTCCATTAGAAGCTATTTCTGATGAAAGTCGAATGCCTAATTATTTTTCATTACTTGCCTTTTATTATAAATATATTTATGAATGAATCTGTCCTTTATCTTTGGGGGCTGGAAATATTACATATAAACATACAAATATATGTTATGCACACATACATACATATATTTGAAAGGTATGTAAGTCATAGAAACTTCTGCCCACAATGAAGAAGCATTGGATGACATTGGTATTTGGTCAGTTGTGGAATTAACTCCACGTGTGATAGGTTCTGGATCATCTGGGACCTCCTTGGGAATGGGATTGCACTTCTAGTCCAAAATTCTGTGAGAGTTGTCTGTACAATTTTTTTCTTCATGACTTGTGGGAACGTCTTACTGTACTGCTTTCCGAATGATCAACATTTGGGTTCATGGATTCAACCTCTTATTTAGTTTAGGAAAAAAAAGTTAGCTATTCCTTTCACTGTTACATTTTTTATAACTTCTTTTTCCTCTTCCTCATTATTTTTTTCTTCTTAAGCACATCTTTCCTCTCCAAAATCCATCAAGTCCTGGTCTGCCTATTCCTCTTCTTCCTGATCTTTTAACTGTACTGCATCGGTGATACCACACTCTAAACTTAACCTTCTTACCAAATGAGCCGTTTCCCCACCAATCTCTTTTGTTATATTATCCTGATCAAATGCTTGGAGCATGTTCACACAACTCAGTAATTTTCCCCATATCCCCTGCATGCATTTTCCCGTAACTTCCTCCCAGGAAGATGTAATGTTTCACACGCACTGAATATCTGAGAATGATAACATCAGCAAATCATATTCTGTAAATCTTATTTGGCACATATTGTTAATGATAAGATGTATAAAGGAAAAAAAAACCAAAAATGGATGGTTGTAAGTGTGGTGTATGTAACCGAAATACCTTACAGATCAGGAATGACCTATTATTATGTTTATAGCATTTACTACTCTTATTTACAGTTAGTGCACTGTAGCTCGACTCTGCTAGAACACATCGGAGCTATGTGTTCGCTATCATGTATTCCTGGTGTCCAGTGCGTTGTCTGGCACGTACGTAATGGGTATCCTGTAAGTTATGATTTAATTAAATTGTGATTTCCATCAAGACTTCAGCACTTGTAACCACAGTCTGGCTACAACGATGGTGAACTGTTTGTGTTTTACAGGATGGCCTGGTGAAGACCAACATGGAGAAGTTGACCTTCTATGCCCTCTCAGCTCCAGAAAAGCTAGATCGTATTGGTGCCTACCTCTCTGAGAGGCTCATCCGTGATGTAGGTCGCCACCGATATGGGTGAGTCGCATGGAAAGGTGGGAGAGATTTCTCAATCTATGTAGGTCCTTCAAAAAAGATAGTATGCTATGTACTGACCACAGTGAGAAAATGGGAGGTGGAGTCCTTTTACTTTTCCAAAAGCGAGATAAAATGTGAGACTATTGCCAAGATTTGAGAAGAGGGTATTGGGTTCCTTTAGTATCTGTTTACCTCTCAGATACCTGAGGACCCAGAAGTCCACAGGTACAGCCTCCAGTTAATGAGTCTAGTCGAGAATGTGCCATTATTTACCTCCATCCCACCCTGCCTTAGTCAATGGACTGTCTTCAAAAAGTAAGGAGAACCCCACTCCTCCTGGTGAGAAGGCAGGGTAACGGGCAATGTGCCCATTCAAAAACAAAACACTTCAGTGAAATATTTATCAGCCTCCTGTGAGGGCAGGACTTTCTATATTTAGAAGAGAGAAGAAATCTTAAGAAAATTTCTGATCAATAGATGAAGCTGTTTAAAAATTTAAATATGTTGATGTCAATAAAAGAAACCGTTTGTTAAAAACAAAACACAAAGGATAGTAAGAAGTGTTTGTTTTCAAATGAGAGAAAGGATCCAAACTCACCCGTAACAAGTACTGAGGGCAGAATAGGGAAACTGAGGCAGTCAAAGAGTTGAGAGGACCATAAGGAAGAAATTCTCAAAAGAGGAGATCCAGTGGGTTACAAACATGAGGTATGAGTCAACAACCTTACTGAAAAAACAAAACAAAAGCAAACGTACTGAATATGTCAATCGAGGACTATGGTACCATCTTCTCATATCAACTAAATAGAGGAAGCCAAGGATGGCCAAATGGAAGCCAGGCTCATGCTTTCTAGGAGTGGGCACTGGTAAAAACCTTCCTAAAAAGCCATTTTAGGGCATCTGTCAAGAACCTCAAAAACATTTGGACCCAGTAAATCTATTTTTATTAATCTATTGCAAGGGATCAAGATGACTCAGAAATATAGCTTTATACACAACGATGTAACTTATGGTGTTTTTTTTAATAATTATGAAAGCTATCTAGTAGGAGGAGGATAACTCTGTAAATGTTGGGGAACATCACTTGTTATCTGTCAGCTGGTCAGTAGAAAACAGAGCTTCACACGATGCTTCCCATAGAGTGTGGGACATGCCTTGTTGCTCGGTCAATTCTTCCAGTCAATTCCTGTTCATCTCTACCTTACGGACAACCCTATGAGTGAAACACGGAACATGCCTTCCATACGGAAAAAATGGAATCATGCATAATTATGCCCTGTGTTTAAAATCTAGTTAAAAAATAAATGATGACAGCAACCCATTTCAATGCCTAGTAGAAAATATGAGTAAAACTATATCAAAAGACTGAGGACTCCTTGTGTGGCAGAACGATTAGAGTTTTGTCTGTTTCCTACCTACCTACCTGTGTGTATGTGTGTGGGTATGTGTTCTAAATATTTTCTGTTGAGCCTGTGTTACTTTCATGGTGAGGAAAGTGGGAGGTGGCGTTGGCTGACCAACCATCACCCCATGATTCAGAGGCTGCATGTAGAGAGAGCTGCGGTCTTCAGGTGGCGTTGTGGACGGGGCAGGGGCTGGGCCAGTTGAGGGTGTTTGCTACGGTTAGGTGCCTCAGAGCTGCCTTAATGAACGGTTGCCTGGTCCTGTGCCATCTGTATCCTGTTCGGGAGGGGGAGCCTGTTGCTGTGGCGATTGTGTCAGTCCCCTCGCTGAGAGGGTCTCTCCTTTCTCCTGACCCTCTCTCTGCCCTGGGTCGTCATCTAACAGTTGCTCTTTCCTGACGCTGTGTGAGCAGGTTCCCCCTCCTTTGGCTGCCATCCTGCAGATAAAGGGTGATTATTCTTCAGTCCCACTGGTCCCTTTCTTCACCAGATCCTGCCCCTCCACCCTCTACTCTCTTCTGCTCCTGCCTTCTCTAGGTTCATCCTCTTATTCCCCAGATGATGGAAAGACATTGTCTCCCTGCTTCCCACCTTTGCTTGTCTGGTCCTTCCAGATTAGCCCTGTTAGCGCTGACCTTCCCCAAACACAGACCTGAGCCTACACTTTCCTGATCCCTTGAGAGTAAAATCGAAGCCCTTTGGTTTACTGGCCTGGGTCTTCCACAACCTGCCCTCACTCACCACTCTCCTCACCAGGTCCACCACCTCGCCACACCTACAGTTAGACCCTCTCCAGACAGACTGGCTGATGATCACCCCAACACCCAGGCCCCTTCTCTGTGGAGTCCTCTGCTGTGCTTTCGCTCCCCAACTCACCCCCATGTCTGCCCATCACCCCCCCCCACCCCCCCCAGTTCTCCTCCTGCTTGGGATGGCTGGGTCAGATCTTGAATTAGGAGAAGCTTTGCATTCTACTGACAGAATATGAAGGCACAGACGGTCCGAGACCCACTAGCAAAAACTAAATCAAACCACTGCTATTTGTACACCAAACCCACCACCGTCAAGTCCATGCCGACTCAGAAACCTTGTGGGATAGAGTAGATCCCAGAGCCCAGGGATCATTCCAGAAGCAGACTGTCTCGTCTTTCTCCCATGAAATGCCTCAGGGCTTTCAACTTTCGGCTGCAGCTTAGTGCTTAACCCACGGTGCCACCAAACTCCTATTGTAAAAGCGGGACCCCAAACCATCCGTTGCTCGATTGATGTTAGAAATATGTTGCCTGCTCACTAAAGAGGGTGTGACTGCACTGTGCATGTTGATTACAGAAAGGGCCCGAACCTATTATAAAATAGACTCAAGCAAGTACCAATAAGGTTCGCCTTGATTGAACCTAATATCCTGGCTACAACATTGAACATTTACTACTAATTTTGCCTGTCCTCTCGGCAGCGGTGGCTGCCTCAGTACAGCTGCCCCGCAGAAGCACTCAGCGTCGTTCCCCTGGATGTAGAGCTGCAACTCAAAGCTGGCATCCCTCTGTTAAAAATAGACTGTGCAGCATCGGAGTATTGAAGGCCTTGAAGACCTCGCTGAGGGTTTTCATCAGAAACCTTTGGAGAAAAGGAGAATCTGTTTGATCTAATCTGATCTCCTGGCCTCTCTCCACACCCTTCCCATCTTTCCCTACCCAACCCCCCACGTCATCATCATCTTCCACACCTTCGAGGGTGGTTTGGGAAGAGCAAAATGTTGACATACCGAGACTGTCTCTCTTCTGATGTAAGTTTTTTGGGTTTTATTTATGGTTTGACCATATGAACATGAACCTTGACTATTGGACCCAGTGGTAGAGCCACCTTCTTGGACCTCTGTCTCCTTGTATCCTTAACCCATGCCCATGGTGTGTGGACTCTGTTCTCAAATGGGTTTGACATCAGGGAGGAAAAACCATATGTGGGCAAAGAGAGGATGTGAGGTGAATTTCGAGGTGGGGGTGTGCAAAACAGCAAAAAGCCAGGATTTCTTAATGTTGTCTCCTTCCTGTTGGTGCCTTGCCCTTCAGTGGCTAGAGGGTGAGGTGAGGGAGGTCCTGGCCGTGCCGGGTGAGACCTAGGGTCAGTTGCAATGATTGCTGAGAGCTGACAGCATGTTGGATGAGTGCTCGGCATTCTCAGGATCTCCACGCCTAGCGCTTCCATCCAAGCCCAGCTTCTCTGAGCCCTGGAGGATGGAGTAACTCCTGTGTAAGAGAATCGGGCTGCTCCCCTCGTGAGCCTCGTCTCAGGAGCTGACCTGGTGTAGGTTCCTAAGGAATTCAAATTTCCCAGAAGGACTTGGTTGGAGGACAGGGTTATAAAACTGGCCTTAGTTGCAGCCCATGAACTCCAGTCCATTCTAGATGCCTTAGAGTCTGCCCTCCCACCTGCTGGGAAGCCTTCCCAGGATACCTCAGATCCTTGGATGTCAACCACACCTGGGGTTTTGCTCTTGTCTTTCGCTCAAGGGCTCCTGCAGTGGGCAGTCCTCCCCAGCTCCATCCTTCCGGCTCCAAGCACCCACCCCGAGTACAAGTTCAAGTTCTAAGACCCCAAGTCAGATCTCTAATGACCCTAATCCTGTCGAGTGGACATCACTCTGTGAATCCCATGCTGTAGTCCTTTTGAGAGTGTAAGCCTAAAGGGTCAGGCTAAATACCTAGAAGGGTGACTGTAAGCAAGGACAAATGCAGAGAACATGGACCAGGGGGCTCGAAGGTCCGCCCACGTTCCCACCAAGTTCGGTCCCCTAAGAGACAAGAAAAGCTGAGGTCTGTCATTACAGTCCTCCCATCCTTTGTGTGGACACCGCAAGTGGTGGAGCCAGAGATGGGCCACGGAAGGTGGTGGTTCACAGAATGAACCACAGAATGAACAGGTGGTGGCTTTAAATGCCTTGATTAGCGCTTCCACTTTCTACGAAATGCGCCCTCCGACCCAATAGGCAAGCTCTTTCACAGAGAGCAATGGTTTTTCTGGGAATTTATTTTTTCACTTTTTTTGCAGAAGAAGGAAATCTGAGCTCTCGGGTCTCCTTCCAAAATCTAAGCTCTCGTGCGGCCTTCTAGCGTCTTCTGTTGTCTAAACCCACCCGCCTCTTCTTTTCTCTAATTTAACGTCTATGAAATATGGGAACATGCTTGTGAAGGCAGGATGCTTCATTCCAAGAAGCAGGATTCGAGTCCACCTGCCCCTCATTTCCCCCCATCCCTGCTCAGCTGTCAGAAGTGTCTGGGTTTCCCTGCAGGGAGGCCTGTCCCACTGGGAAGGGCTCTAGCCCAGGCTGCTCCCCAGCCCTATGGGATTCCATGTGTGCTTCACTGGCTCCCACTGGTGGACCCCAAGCATACTGGGCTGCAAGACACGGCAGGATCCCTGGGCTGTGGTTGAGATGACGTCATCTCTGAGGGGTGGGCCCCCTGGAGCAGGGAGGAAGGGTGGGCTGGGGCTCTGGGTTGCCAAAGCTCAACGATCCATGCCGCCTTTGTCTTTAACACGTACCCCGTGGGTAAGCTCGTGCTGTGTTGTTTGCCAGTGTGGCTCCCTCGGCCAGATGGAGACATGGGTATGTTACAGGGGCAGGAAGAAAGAAGCTTTACCCAGAAGAGGGGCTGTTTCTCTTGGGACCGCATGGTGTAGAAGCCGCTCAAAGCTGCCTAAGAAATCATATCTGATGTTTTTATGTAAAAAAAAATTTAATTAGAGGACATGGTAACGGCTAGACCTTCCTACAGTTTGGATTTGCAACACTGGCTCATGCCCGGGGCAGTTTGGACCCATCGTGTCTGAAATCAGGCAGCTGCCACAGGAAGTCCCAGGGAGCTTCAAAAGTTCCTGGTGGATCCGAATGAAAAGAGCATGGAATTTTCCCGTCACCGTTTCTGTGGCCCCTTCGTGTCCCATGCAGCTCTTCCCAGTGGCCCTGGGACCGTCTCTAGGAATTGTCCTAGAGTGACGCTGCTTGTGCGGGTGCTGGCGACACGTCACCCAGGGTTGCTTTGGCTTGGGGGGAACGCGCGGACTAATGGAGAGGGTGGCGGGCCAGCATGCGGCCCACCCTGGCCACGGCGCTGCTGTCCGCAGGTACGTGTGCATCGCCATGGAGGCGCTGGACCAGCTGCTCATGGCCTGCCACTGCCAGAGCATCAACCTCTTCGTGGAGAGCTTCCTCAAGATGGTGGCCAAGCTGCTCGAGTCCGAGAAGCCCAACCTCCAGATCCTGGGCACCAACTCGGTGAGAAGCAGCCCTGGGCTGGGCCATGGGGGGCCGGGGCGGGGGGCGGGGCTGAGGGTGGAGGGGGCGGTGCCCGGAGGGTCGTGGTCAGCTTACTCTGATTCCTGACGCCTGGATACAACACACTGTCTCAGTAACACACCTCCCCCCCAAACCCGTGTGAACATAGGGGCATTGATTTTTTTTTTTAATGAACTCAGAACATACAGTGAACCCTCGTTTATCGCGGTTAATCGGTTCTAGACCCTACCGTGATAAATGAAATTCCGCGAAGTAGGATTGCTTATTTGTCAATCAAATATTTTCGTAGTTAGAGCATAGAGGACATGAAAAAACACCCTTTAGTCACCATTACACTCGTATTACCCAATTTATTAAACGAAAAAGGGAAAATACAGGAAAACATTTTGGACGTTACAATTATCATTTATTATTTATTATATTATTTATGGCATCAAGCGTGTACAGTATGAGCCAATCAGTGGCAGTAATGATAGAGCATGCGCTGTTACGCAAAAACCGCGATAGAGTGAAGCCGCGGAAGTCGAAGCGAGAAGTGGCGAGGGTTCACTGTATCCCCCACCTGCCATCAGGTAGACCAGCGGTTCTCAACCTGTGGGTTGGGACCCCTATGGGGATCGCCCGATTCATAACAGCAGCAAAATGACAGTGATGCAGTAGCAATGAAACTAATGTTATGGTTGGGGGGCCACCACCACCTGAGGAACTGTGTGACAGGGTCGGGGCAGGAGGAAGGTGGAGGACCACGGGGCCTTGGAAAGCACGTGGCTCGGTGGCGTGGCGTCTGTTCAGCAGGTTGTAGAGCTCGCAGCACTAACGGGCGCATTTCTCTTTAGACTGATCATTTCCAAACTTTTTAATAGTAGCTTTTCCCCCTTAACTCACCTTCCCCAGGACGCTGAGACGTAGACTAATAGACGGAAGTGGCCTTCCACCGTGGAGGCAGGGATGCTCTTGGCTCAGCATCTGTGGCGGAAAGAGGAAGTGTCCCGCCCCTCCGAGCCAGTCCTGGTGCAACTCTTTCCAGGATAGAACAAACGGGTGCCCACAGGCAGAGGTGCCAGGTCAGCGGGAAGGGCACAGGGAAGCAGGCCTTCTTGCTTAGTTCTGCCCCCACCCAGCTGTGGAGCCTTTGGGTAGGTCCCCTCTCTCTTGCAGTCTTTAGCCTCCACCTTGATACCAGGAGTGGGTTTGGACTTGACCTCTGTACGTCTTCTCCGCTACGCTCTGTGCTGCTGGTCTCAGGGTCAGTGGCCTTCATCCGGAGTGGGTAGAGTCCCGTGAAGGCCAAGGACACCCAGCACCTCGTGTGTCCATCCACCCTCGCGGATCCCGGCTGCTCGGTTGGCTTCTGTGCTCTCTGAGTCTGGTCTGTCCCCTTCAGGGCCCACTCTCAGCTGCAGGTCTCCAGTGAAGCCTTTGTCAGGCTACAGATACTGTAGACAAAAAGGGCAAGCTTTGCCCCCTTAGCGTTTCCCACCTGTGGGGGTCCTGGGTTTTTACTTCCTAGGTCAGAGCTGCTTTTCCTGTGCTGCAGGGGTTGATGCAACCAGAAAACAAGTCTTCAGATTTGACTTTCAACCACCAAGATGAGCAACTCAATCCACCCCCACCGCTTCTCTCTCTGAGCCAGCTGCCTTTGCCAAATTACATATACGCTAGCTGTGGGTACAGTGATGTGTCAGGTTGCCCTAGCAACAGATGCAGATACTGTCTCTGCGGTCCTGTTTAAGAGAACTACCGTCCAGAAGAAAACATCTGAATGGAGAAGAACCCAGTCACCAGGCACCCTGAGGATGTCTGCCCCTCAGGGACACAGAAGCAGGTGCCTGCCGGCTCCAGCTTTCTTCACAGCTATCCCTTGCCTGGGGCAGGCGTTGTTAGCTGCACCCGTGAAAATTCAAGCCTCTGCAAATCTCTGCTCCAGTGAATCACCGCAACAATCAGAGTTGACTGATAATTACTGTGCTACAGACGGTGAATTTTATATAAGAACAGGTGATGATAAATAAGTGGAGTCAAATGTTAGCAATAAATCCAGAGTCTAACCTCGAGGCAGCCTGCCCTCCTGTTTCCCTCACCTAGATGCCCTCCCCAGCTCTCTGAGGCTAGGACCCTCACATAGCTTCTGGATGAGAGTGTTTGTCTTGCTCCTCATTGGAGAACTTCCAGTGTGCTAGGGAGATCTTTCTCAATGGAATCAGAGAGAATCTAGACCTGGCATTTCTATGGGGAGTCAGAACTCTACAGGGACCAAAGGGGAGCAGGGGGAGGAGGAAAAGAAGGGCGCAGGACCCTTGATGCCCGTTCACCCAGCAACCTGCTCCATTTTAATTATGTACACGGAAGCTTGCGAAATTGTATTTGGATAGAGGGTTTTGCTGCCAGGAAATTAAATGTAAGGAAGGCAGATGGCTCATTGTTTATTCACTGATGAATACCCACACTCCCTGCCATCAAGTCACTGCTGCTTCATGGCAACCCCCCGTGGGTTTCCAAGACTGTAACTGTTTGCAGGAGTAGAGAACCCAGTCTTTCTCCCGTGGAGCTGCTGGTGGTTTTGAACTGTGGACCATGCGGATCGATCGCTGTAGTCCAACTCGTAATCACTACCCTATAAGGGCTCCTTTAATCAATGAATGGAAACAAAGTGGCACACGCACACACGCTTCCAGTGGAATTATTTTTCAGCCATAAATAGGAATGAGTACTGAGACCTGCTGCAATATGGATGAATCTTGAAAACATGATGCTAGGTGAAAGATATCAGATGCAAAATAGCATCCGGTGTCTGATTCCAGGTAGACAGTACAGCCAGAACTGACAGATTTATAGCGGCAGAAAGTAAATTAGTGATTGCTTCGGAATAATAGGTAATAAGATATAAACCCAACCCAACCCACTGCCATCGAGGCGATTCCAACTCATGATCACTTTATCTTGGGTTCCCAAGACTCTGAACTTTTGAGAAGTAGTTTGTTTTTGTCCCTCTTAGCAGCTGGTGTGTTTGAACTACAGACCTGGTCGTTAGCAGCCCAGGGCAACCCAGGATGCCACCAGAGGGATAACCGGAGAGCACAGAGAGGTGACGAAAGTGCTCTGAGATTGACGGTGGGGACGATCGGACCGATCCTTGACCACCCTACCAACCACTGAACTGCACACTGCCACGGAGAATGGGGAGAAGGTGGGAGAATGAGAAAGTAGAAAAGGAAGCCATCGACTACATCCCCCTCCTCGTTTTTTCTGGCTCTTTCTGCCTGGCATGGAAGTCCCGAGAAGTCCCGTATTGTGTCTGTGGCCACACAGCTGGGGCACCAGCTTCACTGCTGTGGTGACGCTCCCAGGCTGGTTCTGACTCGGCAGTCTGTGGACAACCACGGGACCCTGCTGGCCCGGCCCCGGCCTCGCCACAGTTGCTGTGCTCGAGCCCACTCTGTCAGTCCTCCCCTTTTCCTGTTGACCTCTCCTCTACGAAGCATAGCGTCCTTCCCCAGGAACTGGCCCCTCTTGCTAACATGCCCGAAGCATGCAAGACAACATCTTGTCATCCTGGCTTCCGAGGAGCATCTTCTGGCTGTACTTCCTGCACGACGGATTTATTTGTTCTTCTGGCAGTTCCCGGTCCTTTCGATATTCTTTACCAACATCATAATTCAAATGCATAATTCTCCTTATATCATTCTTACTCACTTTCCCCTATGTATGAGCCACGAGGAATAGCAGGCATTAGGTTAGGCACCCCTCGTCCTCTGTGTTAGTCTGGATACTTTGTAGAAACAAATCCACAGAAACTCATATATAAGAGAGAGTTTTATATAAAGGTTAAGTAAGCAGCAAGAAAACATCCCAACCCAGTGCTTCCCAAGCCCACAAGTCCAACATTAACCCACACCAATCCACAAAGTCCTCCTCCATCTCACAAAACAGACGCAATGATGCCAACTGCAGGAGGAAAGCCAAGTCAGTGAATGTGTAAGCATCTCAGCGCTGGCAGAGGTCTCCACACGGGTGCTCCAGCACCCAGGGCTGCATCAGGGTAGGTCCATGTGGCGTCTCCTTGGGGATGTTTTGCAGAAAGTGAGCCTTGCCAGCTGAATCAGAGAACTGCTAAGGCAGCTGCACCCTGGTGCGACCATCACAAAGCAAGGGACCCGAGAACTCGAAAGGCGAGGATTACTGAGCCATTTATCCCTCCGCCCTTCAATTAATCCCACATGTGTTTATCGGCCAGGTTGGCACAATAAACTAACTAACTCATCCTCTAAGCCAAATGTGTAATCCACAACACCACCACCTGAGGTGGAAGGCACCTGAATTCTTGCTGGGTTCATTTCCTACCCTTCAGCAAGCGGATATTTTACCAGTAAGTCTAAAGTCATTGATACTTCATCCTTGCTACTTCAATTAGCATAATGTTATCAATGTAAAAGATTCGTGTGATGTCTTGTGGAAGGGAAAGGGAATTGAGGTTCCTGGTGACTAAATTATAACACAGTGTGGGAGAGTTGCTATCCTTGAGGTATGATGGTGTAGGTATATTGTTGGCCTTGCCAGCAGAAGGCAAACTGCTTTTGGTAATCCTTTGAAACTGGAATTGAGAAAAAGGAATTGACCAGATCCATAGCTGCGTGCCAGGTATAAAGGAACACATTGTTTCCCAAGCAATGAAACCACATTTGGAATCACAGTTGCAATGAGAGTCACCTCCTGGTTAAGTTGACAAAATTCCACTGTCATTCTCCAAGACCCATCTGTTATTTGCACAGGCTAAATAGGCGAGTTAAGTGAATATGTGGTACAAACTACCACACTGCATTCTCACGCCCCTGATGGTGCCACTACCCTCTTCAGTCCCTCCAGGAATGCAATATTGCTTTCAGTTTACTCTTCTCCCAAATGAACGGTCACGCTTATAAAACTCCATAGATCCCTTTGGAGAAGGCTGAGAGAAATGCTAGCAATATGTATTTGGGGTG